CAGGAGGCTGAGATCTGAGGATCACAGTTCAAAGCCAGCCCGGGCAGGGAAAGCTGTGAAACTCATCTCCAATAAACCACCAGCAAAACAGAAGTGGTGCTGTAGCTCAAGTGGTAGGGCACTAGCCTTGAGCTAAAGAGTGGAAGGACAACATTCAGGCCCAGAGTTCAAACCCCATGACTGACAAAAAAATAAAAGTCATATTCACTAGAGAATTTGACCAATGGTGGGCTTTTCTTTGTTGGGAAACTCATTTTCTGCTTCAGTTTGTTTGTTGTAGGTTTGCATCATGTTGGTTTAATTTTAGTAGGTCATATATCTCAGGAAATATATTTCTTCTACATTTTCAAGTTTATTAGAATATGAACTTTTGAAGTGTTCGCAAATGATCATCTGATTTTCATTGGTATTTGTTAGGATATTCCCTTTTCATCTCTAATTTTGTAATTTGTATCTTCTTGCTCTTTCTTTTGATTGCTTTAGGTAAAGGGTTATCTTTCAAAGTACTGTTCTGTGCTGATCTTTATAGTTTCTTTCCATCTGTGAACTTGGGATTTGGCTGGCTCTTGTGTTCTAAGAGCTTGAGGTACCTTATTAGGTAGTTTATTTGAAATCTTTGTTGTTTTTATGTAGGTACTCATAACTATAAACTTTTCTCTTCACATATACTTTGCTGTGTCCCACAGGTTCTGACAAATAGTATTTCCCTTTACATTTAATTCTAGGAATTGTTTTATTCCCACTTATTTCTTGAATGATTCAAAACTGTATTGCTCAGTCTCCATATATTTCAGTATCTTCTGTAGTTTGCCCTGCTGTTGATTTAGTTTCGGTCCTTTGTGATCTAATAAAATACAGGAAAGTATTTTATTATTCAGGTATTTGCTAAAACTTACTTTATGATCCAAAATATGACCTATTTTGAGAAAGTTCTGTGAGGTACTAAGAAAAATATGTGTTCTGCAACTGCTGAGTAGAACATTCTGTAGCTGTCTGGTAACTCTGTTTGATCCATAGTATTTTTTAGTTCTGAAGTTTCTTGGTTGACTCTTTTGTCCAGATGACATTTTATCTAGTACCTTCAGACTCCACTAAGCCATTCATCACCCTGTGGTGGGTAAGAGGCATGGGAAGCGGGGGAGTGTGCATGATTTATGGGATCTGAGCTCTAATCTCGCAGTCCCTCCTCATCTCTTAACAGCAAACTATAGCCCCAAGGCTAAGCTTTTTGCCGGGTTTAGTCTTGGTGCTTTATTCCCATATTATTACTCAGAATCTGGACCTTGTGATCACCAGGAAGGCCAAAGCCACTGACCACACTCTTCTGCTTAAACTTCACAGTGGCTCCACATCCAACTATCTTTTCTATGAACATCTCTCGTGGCTTTCTGTAACCCAGATGGTGCGGCAGGCTTTCCTGTGTCATTTTTGTTACTTGTTTTCAAGTCCCTAGAGTAGCTTAGTTCAGTCTCAAGCAATAGTAGTTAAATCTCAACCTCTTAAGATGGTACTTTGCTATATTACCAGAGCTTTAGCTCGGGTCTCGTACTCTCATTAGGCTTTTTCCACTCACAGCTGATGTTGTACTACTTGAGTCATATCTCTAGTCCAGCCTTTTTCCTGGTTAATTGGAGATAGACTCTCTCAAATTTATCTATCCAGGCTGGTTTCAACCATGAGCCTCAGATCTCAGCCTCCTAAGTAGCTAGGATTATAGGCCACTGACACCTCACTATGAGTTACACTTTTTAATCCTCTGTCCTCAAGAAAATTAATATATTTTTATCTCTCTTTAATAAAACTGAGAAAGCATGTTTTCATTACAATATGTGTGATTATAATCATTACATGTTTATTACCTTTTATTATTGTTTAGACTAATATCCTAGTCTTAGAAAGCAAACAGTTGTTGTTTTGGTCAGTCGTGGGGCTTGAATTCTGGGTGTGGGCACTGTCCTTGAGCTCCTTTGCTCAAGCTAGCTCTCCACCACTTTGAGCCGCTTCCAGTTTTCTGGTGATTAATTGGAGATAAGAGTCTCATGGGCTTTCTTGCTCAGGCTGTCTTTGAACCACGATCCTAAATCTCAGCCTCATGAGTAGCGAGGCTTACAGGTGTGAGCCACTGGTGCCCAGCCAGTGTTCAGTTTTTATTAAATTCTGAGGAGGAAATTTGAAGCAAACATGATAAAATACTACCATTTGGGAAATGTGAGAGATAAATACATAAGTACTGGACTATACTATCTTGTTTTACTTTTTACTATATTTTACTATATTATTATATTTACTATATTGTTTTACTTTTTACTATAGTTTATTAGTATACAATTGTGAAAATGTTTTATAGTTCAAATTTTGAGTCCTAAAAGTAAAGCATATTTATGACTGGACAAGCCCTTAAGTTTTGTTTAATCAAAACCCTTGTTTCCATACAAATTTAAATTTCAGAATCATGTTGGTTCATTCCATAGAACTATACAAACACTTGTACATCTGCAGTCATCTCCAATCATTCCAGATAAGTTCCCAGCAAATCTGTTTTTTATATTTTTGCTTAAGAGTCCAATCTCAAGAGAATCTTGCTTTCATCATATATCATATGCCTTAAAAATTCCACAATCAGGGGCTGGGAAGGTAGCTCAGTGGTAGAGTGCTTGCCTTGCATGCGTGAGGTCCTGGGTTCGATTCCTCAGCACCACATAAGCAGAAAAAGCTGGAAGTGGTGCTGTGGCTCAAGTGGTAGAATGCTAGCCTTAAGCTGAAGAGCTGAGGGACAGCATCCAGAGTTCAGGCCCACGACTAACAAAAAAAAAAAATCCACAATCACTTCTGATTAGGCAGAGATGAGGGTGAGAGGAATGCTTATGGAGAAACTAGAAGTTGTAGTTCTAGCCAGTTCTGGCACTTACTGCTCTGCTGGGCCTTTCATATTCTACTTTGAACATAATACTCCTCATTCAGTATACCTAACAATTTTATTGTGAGGTGATAAATAAGGAAATAATGTGGAGTATAAGTAAATGTTGTGTTACTGCTATCTCTAGACTGGGCAGACCTTCAGACATGAGAAATATGCAACAGAAAGTAGAGTTAGAGAGGGGGCAAAATAGGGCACAAAAAGGTGGAACCAGTTATGATGTTAGACAGAGTGACACAACTTGATATGCAGTAAAAAGCAGCATTGTGCATATTCTTTGATAAATCACAGCAGTAAAGATATGAAACAAAATCCTTCATAATTTATTTCTGCAAATTGAAACATTTCATGTTGACAATAATTGACACTTTTACAAAACAATGATGAGCATGTCACTGATACTTTTTTAATGACTTTACAATAATCCTATAGAATCGTAACTCATGTAAGATTGATGAAATTACCTGCAGTCTCTGTGTGAGCACAAAATTATATTTTGCTAATATATCAAATTTGCACCTAAACCACATTCTTAAGGTTCTGTGTTTGGGGTGTTTCTCCTGTTTCCTCCCTTTTCAGAGGTCCATGTTAGATATCCATAAGGAGAGAGGCAAAGAGCAGTAGGGAGTGCTAATGAAAATGAACACCCTTTTCTTCCCGTGTAACTTCTCAGTAAACAAGAATGCAGACTGGACATAAACACCTCAAAGGTATCTTCTCTACAGATGAAGAAAAATGCCAAGTGCAGGTTACATTGCTCAATAGCTCTGTATGGATTTAAAATGGTGATTAAACAGTCCCATTCAGCTAATCACTAACATTTCCTGTCCCTTGTTGAGTTCTGATACTTGACATTTTGTTTATTCTCAATCAATCCCAAGAAAGACCTGTGAAACCCTAAGGATAAAGTCCACCATCCTCTTGATGTCTTTTATCTCTTCTCTTCACGCCATATATGCCATCAAAGGGACTAGTATGCCTACATGTGACTCTCAGGAATATCCCTAGAATCAGTCCTTAATATTCATCCTCTCCTTTTCTTTGTTTTTCTTTGTGTATTTTGTTTTTGTTTCGGAACAGGAGATTGAGCCTAGGCCCTTGTATCTGCTTAACAAAAGCTCTATCACATGAACCACACCAGCAGCCCTCATCCTGTCCTTTTACCTTCTCAGAATAGGTCATATAGTCTCTGCATTTCTTCTCATTTTTTCTCTATCCTTTCACTTCTCAGTAGACATCTACTCTTCATACTGTTCATTTCTTATTAGATGAACTCCATATTCCATTCTGAACTTGAGATTCCTCCAAAATTATGTCTTGTCCTATCACAGTAGTTTCTAGCCATTGTCCACATTGATCTAGAAATACCACAGACTTGATCATAATTCCAAACTTTGACTAGTGTGTGTAGTCTTATTCATAAAACTCTTTCCTATTTCTTTCTAGCTATCAAAATCCAGACACTTCACAGGACCTCACTTAAGTCATTCACTCCAAAGTCTTATTTAATCCTCCCAACACCTGGGATTACCAACTGTCCTTGTGTGCCTTGGGTTTCTGAGGATGTAGTCCTAAAACCTACGATATTCCAGCCAGGCAATGATGGCTCATGCCTATAATCCTAGCTACTCAGGAGTCTTGAGATCTAAGGATTATGGTTTGAAGCTAGGAAAGTCCCTAAGACACTTACCTCCAATTAAGTACTGCCCCCCCCCAAAAAAAAAAACTAAAACTGGAGCTGTGGCTCAAGTGATAGTAAAATACTAGCCTTGAGCAAAAAAAAACAAAGTTCAGGGACAACACCTTATAGTCTGCTTTCATTGTTTCATTGTGTTATCTAATAAGAATAAAGGACCCTGCAGAAGCACCTTGAATCCCTATAGCATTTGCAAGGGACTTTTCAACATGAAAACTTTTGCTCCTGTTGGGCAGTCTTTTCTGATTCCCACTTCACAACTTCACACAGAATATATGGCTATACTCATGCTAATGCCTACTGATTAGGTATATGAAGCAGTTTATAAGTTAGCACTATATCTGAGACATTTGCTTTGTGTGTTAATTTGTCTTTATTTTTTTCCAGCCCAGATGACTTACTCAATGCCTTGAATGAGGGTATCAGTCGTGCTGATGTCATCATCACGTCAGGGGGTGTATCCATGGGAGAAAAGGTATGAAAAATGGGGCTCATGTATATTCTTGATGTCAGTTCATATGGCAGTTAACTGTGGTCAGGAAGTCTTTGATATTCATAGCCAGGCCCCCACAAAGCTGAACACCCGTGGGACTTCAGAAATTACTACTCTATAACGAACATGCTGTGTAGGTAGGTCAAGGAGCAGCCTAGAGAACCCCATAATTATCAGTATGTTTATCACTGTGTCCCTGGAGTTTTTACTCAATTTTATTATATTTATAACTTTCTTTTTATGTTACATTTATGCCCAATATAAAGCTCCAAGATCTTCCTTTGACTGAAATTGAAACGTGACCTCCCAGCACCACCTGTCTTATGCCCTCCACATATTTCAGCACCAACATCCTCTAGCAACCTTACCATATAACACCAACATCCTCTAGCAACCTTCCCATACAACACCAACATCCTCTAGCAACCTTGCCATACAACACCAACACCCTCCAGCAACCTTACCATACAACACCAACACCCTCTAGCAACCTTACCATACAACACCAACATCCTCTAGCAACCTTACCATACAACACCAACATCCTCTAGCAACCTTACCATACAACACCAACATCCTCTAACAACCTTACCATACAACACCACATCCTCTAGCAACCTTACCATACAACACCAACACCCTCCAGCAACCTTACCATATAACACCAACACCCTCTAGCAACCTTACCGTACAACACCAACATCCTCTAGCAACCTTCCCATACAACACCAACATCCTCTAGCAACCTTCCCATACAACACCAACACCCTCCAGCAACCTTACCATACAACACCAACACCCTCTAGCAACCTTACCATACAACACCAACATCCTCCAGCAACCTTACCATACAACACCAACATCCTCCAGCAACCTTACCATACAACACCAACATCCTCCAGCAACCTTACCATACAACACCAACATCCTCCAGCAACCTTACCATACAACACCAACATCCTCTAGCAACCTTACCATACAACACCAACATCCTCTAGCAACCTTACCATACAACACCAACATCCTCTAGCAACCTTACCATACAGGCAGGAATAATGAGGCAGTCCTTTTGCTGCTTTGTATAAAAAATAATAAATGAAAATATACAGATGCAGGATTTTATAGGGCAAAGTATATTTGTCCATAGTATAAGTTTAGCCCTCTAAAAACTTTAATATGAACACTATAATGTTTTTAACGTTATAAATCAATAAAACATTTTAGCTTATGATTATTGAACCCATTGTTTAATGTTTTATTCTCTGCCACGATAATCAACCTCACAAATACTTCAAATTATATAAAATGTTTACCAGACTATAATCCATTTCTGTGTTTTCTTCAATCTCCCATTAATTATTTAAACTGAAAAATTATAACTACTACCATAATGGACTACTACCATAATGGTAGTTTCACTAAAATTCTTACTAAGAGTCTGATTTATTTTAAGACGTGTATATGTATGTGATAATATGTGATTGTTCTTGCCTTTCCTTAGCTATAAAACTGCCTACATTTATAATCTGACTTTCTGGCAGTAAACTGAGATCAAATCTCCAAATTCAGTAGCCTGAACAGAAAATGCCTACTGTCCATTAACAAATCTTAGTTTCACAATAATTGAGAATAATATTTCAGCTACCAAAAACCAGGGATGAAAATGCATATCAATCCAATTACATCCAGGAATGAAAATGTTGATGTAAGTGTAGATATTCTTATAACAAATATGGCTACCCAAGTCTTTCCTGAATGTCCCAGAAGAATTTAGCCCCAGGTAGAACAAATTCCATCAGCTCTCATGAGATCCAAAGGCTGGGCCTGAGGTCTGTACTGTAGTAGAGAAATAACCTGCAACAAGTCTGTTTTCATAATCATCAAATTGGTCTCAATATCACAAGAACAAGTCTGAAAGTCAGGACTAATCAAATGATAAATTTATTATTCCCAGGGACGTTTTCATGTAGTATTTATCTTTGTTCTTATGAATTTAATTGTGAGCTAACACCTATTTGGCAGACCTAAAGTTGTCATTTTGAATAGTTCTAAAAGAGAACAAGCTTACTGCACACACAAGCTTGGTAGTTGTGTAGTAATGGCACAACTTTGTAGTAATGACAGGACACTTCTGAACCTTTTTTATTAGTACTAACAAAGGTGTCAGTCATCCTAGGGAGTTTTCTTTACAAATAAAGCCAGTATAACTAAGCATATTGGGTTTTTCATTTAGTTTTGATTTGCTTTTCTCTGTATGGTATGATAACTACACTACACCTTTAATTTACACTACACCTAATTTACAAAGAAGAGATTTTAGGACCTGAGCATCCCAAAACATTCCCTCTGAACTAATATTACCTTCTGGAGTAGAGATAATGGTAGCCAGAAAGAAAGAGGTAAAATACTCATGCAGAAGATTTCTGCCAACCACCAAAAAGAATTCTATGTAATTTAGAAGTAGAAAGAAAAGCATAAAGGCTAGAATATCTGCTTCAGCCCAAGAGCTGAACCTGAAGAACAATCACTGAAAAAACAGGGAGATCAAGGAAAGATCTATAGGCATTATGTAACAGATGTAAGTCTCTTAAGTACAAACACTCAGGTATGGGAGAAATGTATTTGACTACAGGAAAATCATACTCAGAACATCTGTGCTACAGAATTGGCAAGAAATTTTATTTAAGCCACCACTGAGGACTGTTACCACCAAGAATTATGTCAAGAAACCTGGAGGGGCTTACGCAGCACAGAAGCAGGGAAACACACCTAGCCACTAGTTTGCACTGGAAACATCTAGAGAATTCTGGTCACACATTAGATTGACTCCACTGGATTACAGTGTATTGGCAGCTTAGAATCATGGGGAGGTTGGGATGGTCTAGACAGCTATCTTCTTTCTGGGTACTTGCCAGCTATCTCCTCTGAAGTCTACCACATTCCCTGCTAAACAGAGTAGAAAGAGCAGCTTTTAGGATCCACAGACTTCCCTCTGTCAAGGATTAAAAAAAAACAAAAAAAAAAAAAAAACTTGCCCTTAACTGTCCATAGCCCATAGCTATATATGTCTCCACATATCCACTTCCTTCTGCCCACTCAGCCTTTTCAGTTTTCATCTTTACAAAACACAAAACACCATTTTCATATGATGGTGTCTCCACCACCCACGGGATCAGACTAACTCCAAATATCGTTACTGACCTCAGTGAAAGGACTGACTGGTTGCACTACATTTGCCTTTAATGTGAGCCCAGGTGCATGAACTATATGAGCCCCCTTGAATTTATTTGGCAAATGCTCAGCTCTTCAGTCATAGAGTATTTAAAACAAATCAATAATATACCAAATAGACACAAAAAGTTTTCCTTATCATTTCATTCAGTCCTATGTTATTTTTGTTCTGCTAAATCTCAAGTTAGCAGTCTGTTTTCACAAAAGTACCTGCTTTCAAACTTGAGTTCTGGAATTCCACACTGGCAGAGTATAAAAGTTATTCATGATATATCACTACAGATGCCTGCATACAGCATCTGTCATCAGTTTGAAGCAGCTGTGCAGTCCTTTCCCTAGTGCTCTGAACCTGTCAAGTTATTGATGGTGCTTATAACAGAGCCTCAGGCAAGCATCAGAATAAAACATAAACATTCTGTAGATCACAGATTCTTAACAACTGTGTTTATATTGCTACTATAACCAATAAGGAACTTAGATGGGATTTCTTACAACTAAAATTATTAAGCTAGTCTCACTTACTAAAATAATTACCATAGCCATATGAACCTGAATTATTAAAATTATAAGAGAGATTTTTTCTAGTGTGGCACATTAAGTTGCCAGGTGTGCTCATATATACCTATAGTCTCAGCTACTCAGAAGTCTGGGGAAGGATGCTTGAGACTAGCCTGGGCAACATAATAAAACTTCTCTCTTAAAAATTAATGAAAAGCCAGGTGCCAGTGGCTCTAGCTAATAATCCTAGCCACTTGGGAGGCTGAGAACAGGAGGACTGTGGTTCTGACCTGACCCACCCCCACTCCACCCGCCCCCCCCCCCCCGCAAAAAAAAAAGTCCACCAGACCCCTTCTCAACCAATAGCTGTGATGCAGTATCACACACCTATCACCATAAGCTATGTGGGAGGATTACAGTTCCAAGCTAGCAGGTCAGAAAAGCTTATGAGAATTCATCTCAACAGAAACATGCTAGGTGTAGTAACATTTACCTGTCATCTCAGCTAGGACAGAAAACTTGAAACACTTGATTCTTGATCCTAGACACATGCCCAGCCAGGAAGCAAAACTGTATCTCAGAAACAACCAGTGCAAAGGCTGGAGGCATGGGCTCCCCGACAAGCATGGAACCTGCATTCAGACACCACTACTGCAATCCCAGTCCATGAGTACTTACATTTCTTTATTTTCTGGAGATTTTAGGAAAGTAAGCATTATGTAAGTAGAATATATCTTTTTAAACCAGTCAAAACAGAGTACCTTTAAGACGCAATGTAACTTGATTCATAAATATCCCCAGAAATAGGAGAACATTTTGCATTCACAAAACAAAGCAAATGTTTTCTGGATATTCAGACACATAAGGAACATAACAGCTTCAGTTCTACAGCGTCAGCCTCTGATTAATTCATCTGCCAACTAATAAAGAGCTATTTGCCTTCATATAAGACATAACTTCTTAATTGATTTGGTCTCAAAATGCACAATAAAAGAAATAAAGAAGAAATACTAATAAACCAGATTCTCTGTCTTTTCTTAAGGATTGACTTAATTTAATTGATTTAATATGTCTCCAAATGGCTAAACTAGATTCTTGATGACTTCTGCCACAGCAGGAATATTTTATTGTGTGTGGAAACAAAACCACAACTAAAATCAGCAGAAGGGGGCAAACAGACAACAAAAGTTTTATTGCCACTTGGAATTCACAACAGGAACCAAGTATATATGTGCCCAGGTTTCAGCCACCCA